GGTGACCTCTGACGCAAGAGGTCAACGTAGCAAATTTATACGCAAAATTCCAGCGATTATTTTGCATTTGGCATGCACGGCCGTTAATTTGTCGATGTAATCTCGCCCCAAATGTGAAAATAAACAAATTCGTTCAGGGTCCAATTCAGGCGCCTAATTTTATCGGCCGATCGCGGGCAATTAGGTGGTAATTTATACTTAATCCGCCTCTATAATAAGCTGTGAAAATCGAGATTGGAAAGAGATTAAACGCATTCCTAAGGGGACTTTATTTGCCTATAAATTACGTGCAAGCTTGTTTTGATCAGCATTGTGGCTATTAGAAGAGATCGCGCGCACGTTATTAATTCATGCATATTTTAAAGTGGCCGTAAATAAATTCAACGAGCCATTTTTCTTTATACAAACGCTGCATATTTTCCGTATATACAGAGTAGAACGAGTGCACGCCAATAAATTGCTTTCTATAATCTCCGCGCGCAGACGATTATTATTCACATCCGGGGATGTTTAGTCATTGGTGCATGCATGGCTCTCGCGCGCGAGCGCGGCTATTTTTATTGACTTTCTCCACCGGCCGACGTCGGCTATGGTCACTTTGAATAATCAGGCCGCGCTCTTCGTGGAATTCGCTTTTTTCAACTTTTAATTAAAAACTCTCTGTGAGACGTGTTGCGTAACGATAAAAGCATACAATCGGGTTTAATAAAAATTTTACTTGCTTATTGCTTATGTTTTTCTCATATTGATATAAAAAATTAAATGGTTTCAATAATAAAATATCTGATAATAGAATTGAACTTGAATGTGCTTGAAGAGAGTTGATGCTACTGTGACTTATGCAGCATTGCCGGGGGGTAAAAATGCCTGTCTGTCTCTATACAATAAGTCCTGTATATTAATTTGCAATTAATCTATCTGCTAGACAGGTTTAAGTTTAAAGATAGTTTAAAAATGTTGGTGCCACAAGTGTTTTATCTTTTCAAAAAAAAAAGGTTGTAAATATAAAACGCAGAAAAATTTTGTGCCGCAGCGGAGCAGAAAAATCTCTCCATGAATACAAAAAGGCGCGGATTTTGTTTTGACTTCGCGGAAACACTTTTGAGATTGACGTTTGAAAACAGAGAGTGACAGCCAGGTTAGAAAGAAAGTGTAAAATCGCATTCTTTCTAATTTGATTCTGCAGAAACGCCTCTCCGGTGTATAGACGACGTACGAGGACACAAACAGGTGGAGTAGTTCTTCAAATGTCCCCTGGGCACGGAGCGGCGAGTGAGAGAAAATACCGCCGCTCGCAACATGTTATTATTATCACGAGGCAGAAATCATCATAACACTTCTTCAATGATATCTCGCCAAGTCAAATGCCGCCGACCTACTAACTCTCTACGGCGTTTGGCGAAAATGAGAAATAGCAGCGCCAATTTAATTATACCGTCGCCTCGATCGTAAAAGAAGCACCTGGGAATAATGAGAGGTTCTCATTTGAATTTTTTTTTTCTAAATTTATGAAGATCCTTCTTTCTTGTCGACGAGGAAAAGTGCCAAGTCGTAAATTCGATAAATGAAAAGCGACCGTTTGCGAAATGCAAATTTCTTGGAATGAAAAATAAAAATATCTAGATGTCTTTATCAACCCATTAAAATAGGATGGTATCCAACGGGTAAAATAGAAAGGCAAAATTTTATCGCTGACAATATTTTATCACATTTTTTTAAATTATATTTTAATTAAGAGCAGCTTCCAGTTATTGAAAATTCGTCTAAAAATAATGTAGGAAATAAAGTCATATGTGCAGTTGATTACACCGAAGATGAAGAACTTAATTTCACATTTTACAAGCAGGCATTAAATTAGCCTAGCATTTTATAGCGGCACGATTTATGTATAGAAACAAAATCTATGAGAGAGCGGGACAATAAAACGTGCTCTCTCAACACAAACACATGCACCCAGTTAGAAAACAAGATGATATTAATATAAAAGCTGCAGACAAACCTTCTCGGATGAATATGTTAATGGGCAGCGTTTCAAAAGGCCTGAGAGACGCCGACAGCCAAATTCTAGCCACTCTAGAGATGAACAATTTTGATAAACAAACAATAAAATGCTGGTTCGCTGCTAGTTGTTCCGAAACCAAATCATCACCTATAAGATCGAGACCAGGTGAAATCACTTAAATAACATAGTATTGGGAGGTGCGGTGGTTCAACCTGAGGTTGAAGGTGTCGCGTTGGGTGTGCGGTCAAATAAAGTCGAGTAAATACGATCAAGGAGCAGCAGTGGCAAAATATTTGCCTGCCAATCTGCAGCCTTTCACCGTGTTAGGAGATTTCTTATAAGGAATCTTGCTATTTTAGAGAAGCCAATTTGTTCTTCCTTTGTAATGAGCTGTTTGGTGCAGAATTTGTGGAGGCTCAAATATCACTTATTTGGTTTCGATTTCTCGCAACCTTTTGTTGTGCGGAAAATGTCAAATCTAATGCCATAAGTTTTTTCTTCGCCTCTAATTTCCAATAAAAATGGATCATGCATATTAATACTATTTTGGAGCTTTCTTTTTAATTTGTATCCATATTATGCTTGATCATTTTTCTAATTAATTACTTATTTCAGAGTTTAATATCTAAGAAGCAGCCGTTTAATTTTGATTTACCAATGACATGAGGGGATACAAGATTTTCAATTTTAAAATCTTGAATTACTGCCACAAATGCTGCTTGCGGAGGGAGAGAAAATTGCTTGAGGGACAGTATTTAGGGCAGGTGGCAGTAATTAAGATTAAAGATTAACCTGGTGGCTTAAACGAGCTAAACTGGCCAAAAATTTGTTTTGATTATTTTTGATTTGTTTGTTTAAAAAACGAATTCTGCATCTTTTATGTAATAGAGAGTTGTATTTTTCTGATTTAAAATATTTAGTACTATAAATGCGGTTTATCCAGTTATCAGGACTTTTACGATTCCTTTTTGCTGATTTCTTTTCCGATTTGGAAGTGCAGTTTTTTTTTTATCAATATAAAAAAAAATAATTTCAATTTTATAGATTTCAAAATATTATTCTATATTATTCCATTTTGTAAGATATAAAAACCATTTGACGTTTTCATATTTAAATATTTTCTTGGATGACTAATCAACCGTAATGTGGCAGTGAGTTTGAGTTTTTTGAACCATTGAAATGCTATTTTTAGATTTAAAAACTCGAGAGATCTTTTTAGAGCTGAATCACGAGGCAGCGGGATTGGCGAGCGTGTCTCTCTCATGAATAAAACTTCTCTTCGAGCCGCGGGACGGTGCATCTCATTGTGAATATTATTCTCTTTCAACTCACGAGCCAATTTCCTTGTTCGGAGCGTTTGCGAGTTCGCGATTGATTCCCATCCGAGATCCAATTTAAACACATCTCGGGTCGTTAGCGAGAGAGCAGGATAATTCTTACCAGCAGAAGAAGAAGTGCGATTTATCTTGTGCGGGCCTAATGAGCCGCGTGAAAATCGACTTGTGTATAAGTGTGAGAATAAATAAAAATGGATCAGTACGGCTTTTTTATTTTTCCCATTCGCGATATCAATCAATCGGCGTGATTCTTTTGACATTGTGAATATTATACGATTAAAATAATAATGCACTTTCACTTTGCATTTTATTAGAAAGGCGTAGCACTGCATATTGCGACTAGCCATTATTGAACTAACACACACACACACACACCTTTGCTATAGTTTTACGCTTCGCGTGTTATGTAAAGCGTGAATTTTTTCAAATCCTGTCTTCGTGCATTCTGCAGAGGCGGAGGTTTTTTTAATTATCGCAACAACTTGCACGAATGGACGCAATAAGCATTATTTATTTGCAACAATTAAATCGCACACTAGCCTGCAGATTCTATACAAAGCCGGTTCTAATTATCTGAACTTCCCTTTTTTATCGCGAGGAATGCGTTTAATGTGCTCGCAAAGAAAACTCATAGTAGCACATTTAGAAACTCTCGCACACCTTGTCACCATTGAGTGACAGGCTGCGTTTAACTCATATAAAGTTGCACTCCTTGCAGAGATATCGCTCGTATAATTATCAATCATCGTGAGAGATGAGCACTTGAGCACATAAAATGTGGGAGCTCGCATCAAAAGGATCAAGATAATAATTGCCAGAGCTAACTAAGAAGCATGCAAGCTCAACAGTAGGTCTGGAAATGATGTTTTATGGTCTCTGAGATTTTATTTTCACATTGATATAAAAGAATTGACTCATCAAAATTGCAAAAAAATTCTATTGCTAGTGACATTTTGTTATTGAATGTATTGATAAATTTTATTTTTTTTGCAGTGCACATTTATAAAACCTTCATCACTAGCTCAATGAAAAAAAAATTAACTCCCAATTCGAGAAAGATAATAATTGATCTGCACTAATTAAATTCTTTTTGCAGTCACAGTAAATTGGTTTCAAAACTAGGATCAATGCAAATTTAAAAAAAAATATTAGCATATTTTGTTGTGTCTAACTGTAAATTTAAGACCTTTGAATTCTTAATATTTAATAGTATAATTTTAGCTCATTTATGTTTTGTACAATTTTTATTTTTTCGAAATAACGAGTTGAATTACTTATTGTGGAAAATAAAAACCTCATGCTTGTGAGTTCTTTTGAAAAACCAACACTTTTTAATTAAACCTTTCCCTATCATAAAAGCAATCAAATTGGAATGCACAACCTCCAAAGCCCTCTTTTTTCTGAAGTACACGCGCTCCCTTTCAATCACTCGATCTGCAGATTTTCAACTTTACACGTATGTGAATAGCGAATTATGTTCATGTATCAGATGTCGGACGTATAATTGTCCCTTGTTGAATTTAAAATTCGATCCAAATTGCGACCCGACCTTGCCCTTTGCAGACCTTGCGGCCCTTCTCTATGCGTCTTGATAACTATATAATGAAAAAAATTGCCTGGCATATAATTCCACTCTCTATTGTTGTTCCTTTCTGTTGCAGACGAATTTCTCGCCGGGTCTAATTTGATGCCGAGCCGTAGACCCATGCTGTGGGAACTGGCAAAAGCAGGTATACTTGAATCTATTTTTGGTCAGCGGGAATTTTTTTAACCCAGATCTAATAAAATGAGGAGAACTTTCGAATGTATTTTGGATTTATTCAAATTTCGTTGCGGAAAGAGTTAAACGATCGCGCAATTAATTGGAGCCGTAAATTCTTCAGTGAAAGCCTAAAGTTAATTTTAGTCGCGGGAGTGTGTGCGTGTCTTTTGTCGCAAACAGAGGTCGTCAATTCTTGACGACACTCGGTAATGGCAATTAAAGCAGTGTTGTCGATCGATAATGAGTCGGAAACACGCCTCTGATGTGCCAAAGGCTGCTGCATCGAATGCGCTGCATAATAAAGGCGCTTGTTAATTGTTTGATGGCCCTATCTGCATAAATAATGGTCCCGCAGGTCGCTAACCCTCTGGACATGCATTACGTCATAAAAGGTTCGTCTCTCGCCTGATTCGGAGACGTGGAGAGAAAAGTGCAACTAGAAAGTGAAATGGCGCGTCCGTCGCGCGAGGCAAAAACGACGTTTTGTTGTTACGGCACCTTCGGATCCACTCGGCGGCACATGCGAGGCGTGTAATTAAAATTCTTGAAAGTGGACGTGCATTCCGCGCCGTTTCTCGGAAAAATATAATTTGCACCAATTTCACCGCGCGCCTTTGTGGATAGGTTTTTTCCCATTTGGCGACAAAAACACGATACCATTAACTGTTAAGTGACATATTAAATTGTTGATGTTTTTATTAAGTTTAACAAGATTAAGGAAACGCTACTTTTTTTCTTGATTGGCGTTTCCTATACAAAAAAGGTTTATTGCGACAAAGTGTGAATATGTGTAAATCTCAAAGTGAGCATTTGCATAACCTTCTATTTTCGTCTGGTTTTCACTTTGACGTCTGTGCAAAACGGAAAGTGTCTTAGCTCAGTTTTAAAAATAAATCCGACTCTTTCGCTATCGCGTTGCCTAACAATGCATAAGTTAGAGGACCACTTACTTTCGTTTCGGAATATATATTTAAACATTATATAACACCCAAATTCACAACAGGTGTCGATGCTTTTGTATATTATTTCGGCAGAGCAGTCACGTGCGCTGCACCGACGGATTTTTAGAGCAGAAAGTCGATTTCTAGAATAAGGAGCCGGCGTTCAGCAAGCTGAAAATTGTAGGCGTCCGCTCTTGATTATTCAATCTGCAGCGGCGGCGAAAAGAAAATCCGCGCGACCCGCAAGGCGGAGGAGGCGAAATTATTAATAAGCACCGCTTTATTTTGATAGCATCAAACGAAACGACGACGTCCCGCAGCTTCTCTTCAATTGCAATTTAATTACACTCGCCGCTCGTTACTTAGTTTGTGCGGCGGCGGCGGCAGAAAATATAACTCATGCGCATCTCTCGATAAATCAAAAAAGCCCTACGTGTTAATGATCCGTACGCGCGGGCTGTTTTTTCACTGCATTCTTGTGCCACTTCAATTTAATTTCCTTGAGATCGAAAGAATCCCTTCCGGCTGGCAATTTGCAAAAATGTCAAGTTGCGACTGCAGTTGAAAAATTTGCGTGCCGAGCCGAGAGAGTCCTTTTGAAATAACAAGAAAACAATGTGGGATATTGTCAATTAAAACAAGCATGCATGCATAAAAGTGAACTGAAATTGTGTCGTGTTTTTATTAAGTAAGTGAGAAAGGATTACGAAGGGTATTGTTTGATTGGCGTTTCCCGCGTCAAAAGAAAAGTTGCAACGAAGTTAAACTAATAAGGACGAATTTGAAATTAACAAAATTGTCCTTTGGTTAACAATATATACGCAGCAGTAACCTGCTAAAGTAATTAAGTGATTATTAAATAACATGTCATACTGATGTCAAAATTAAATTTTTAAAGCTAACCATTTATTTATTTTTTAATATATTGTGGACCTCTGCTGTGCATTCCAAATTGTTTCTTTAGACATTATTAGTATATATAGATCCTTAATCAAACGAGTTTTGAATTGATACATATTTTTACTCTTTTAGAAAATAGAACTAACTTCATCTTTTGGCACATCATAAATAATTGATAAAAACAAAATCAATTAAAAGAATTAAAAAATATATAAATTTATTATTAAAACAATTTATTTAAAGTAATCTTATTATCGTTGAATGGTAACACTCGAGGTGGATTTCATGAAAAATTGAAACCGGGCGAACCTCGTTGCAAAGAAAAAATGAAAAAATAAAGGACAACTGACCCCAAAGGCGACCTGCGGTCTGCTGGTACTTTAAAACCTAGGATTTCTTGTGTCCGACTAAAACTAAGTGGGAGGAATTAATAAAAAATTAAAAATAAAATGGGAGAATTTAATTTTAATAAACAAAAATTGCAGAATTTAATTAAGCAAAAGAGTCAGTCAACAGCTTCATACTGTGATTTTGGCAGAAATTTCCAGGGCAATGAACCCAAAGACTTTTCTGGCAAAATCTCAGTATTCTGCCGCACTACTGGTTAGGACAGCTGTTTCGGCCAATCCAGGCCTCATCAGCTAACCTGAGTGCCGGTCCTCTCCTTTCGGAGAAGTCCGAGAGACTGATGCTGAACGGTGGCTGCTGCGGGGTTTTATACCCGAGCGAGGCCGCTCGCACCGCCCCCTGGCGCGCTGATTGGCTGACTCGATCGCTCTAGAATTTTCTGCGTTTAAAATTAAAAAGCACGAAGTGTGCGTTAATTTGCGGGCCCGTCCCGCAGATTTAAATTGAATGGTAACACTCGAGGTGGATTTCATGAAAAATTGAAACCGGGCGAACCTCGTTGCAAAGAAAAAATGAAAAAATAAAGGACAACTGACCCCAAAGGCGACCTGCGGTCTGCTGGTACTTTAAAACCTAGGAAGCTGTTGACTGACTCTTTTGCTTAATTAAATTCTGCAATTTTTGTTTATTAAAATTAAATTCTCCCATTTTATTTTTAATTTTTTATTAATTCCTCCCACTTAGTTTTAGTCGGACACAAGAAATCCTAGGTTTTAAAGTACCAGCAGACCGCAGGTCGCCTTTGGGGTCAGTTGTCCTTTATTTTTTCATTTTTTCTTTGCAACGAGGTTCGCCCGGTTTCAATTTTTCAATCTTATTATCGAAAATCTTTATTACTAAACTCAAAACAATAAAAAAATTGTATTGTGTTGACAATTTTTTGTTATTAATTATGATTACTTATTATAGTGTGTCAAAATCATGTTGTTCCGATCAGATCATCAGAAGTATTTTTCCTACAACATTATATTATTTTATTTTGTTACTAATATTGATGAATTAAGTAAAAAGTCTGAAAAGATTAACTTCATTATTAATAGCTAGCAACAAATTTTTATTCACATGATGAACAGAACATCAGTCTTCAACAAGTTCACCAAGGTCAAGTTGACTTGATTTCTTCTTTTAGTCTAATGTATTTATTTACTTTCTTCAAGTGCATGGGATTTTTTTAACCAGTTAAAAATCGATTCACCATAAACACAATTTACTTTCTTCAGCTCCGCACTCATTGAGACTTTCAATTACACACAGAGACGCGTATATAAATTAATTTTCCGCTACCGCAGCTCGCAGAGTTGATGAGAACGCTATAGTTGAAATGAATAAAAAAAAAAGGAGAGAGATGCCATTACCGCCGCAACCAGTCCGTCCACCCGAAAAGGTAGAAATCTAGCAGACAGGTATTTTTATTCGCACTTTATTTTCTCAAGTATCAATCGCGTCTCGAACGATCGTCCTCTGGCTACTTTCTCACTCACTTTTGTCGAAAGCACTTTTTGAGAGAGAATCGAATAGAGAGACCCCACCTATGTATGTAAACTCGAACATGAGCAGACAAAAGCTGCAATTTTATGGGGTGTCAGGTTGTAAAGGTGGACGAAAAATGAGCGCGCGTTGATCGTTTTGATACATGACGGAAAGAGCAGCTAACATTATTTTTTACGATCTGACATCACCTCTGACTGAGAAGTTAAGTGCAAGTACCATTGTTTCTCAAGTGCAGCGATTTCCATAATAAAATTAAAATTAGGCGCGCGCACTTAAAACACACCGGGGGAGTTTTATCCGCATTAAAATTTAACGCAAAGGCAAAACACTTGTAGCGATTGTACCGTGTCGTGTTTTATCACCCGTCTTTCAAAAGAGCAAAAGTGTGTACATCGGAAGAAAAAAAAACATATTGATTCTCGGACTAATCGCCAAGAGATGAGATAACTATAGAAAGTGCAAATGCAAATCCTGGTTTGTGTATAATTTGAGGAAAGGTCGCTGTGTGTGTTTTCCTGCACGGCCAATTTGGCAGCAGCCATTAATATCTTTTGCGGTAATACCCGGAGAGATGAATGGAGGTGAAATTCACGTGGTCAGCTGCGTAATCTCCGAATCTCGCTAATGATGTGACAAAGGAGAGCGCAATAAAAGTAGATAGTCCAGAGGCAAATCATCAATTTAAGGTCCCTTGGAATTTCCGTCCTGTCAGACTCAGTGAAGGCATCCCATTGGCACTTTGGAATAAAAAAGTCTAAGATTAATTTTAAATGAGTTAGCCCTTAGGTTCTGTGCATTATTAAAACTTTTAAATTGAATAAGATGAACATTATTATATAATATTTAAATAACAATTCCAAAACCAAATTTATTATAAAGGATTTCTTGAATCCTGCTTCAATCTAAAAATTAATAAAAAAAATATTAGTGAAAATCTGTACAACTGCGTTTCTTACTCTTAAAAAAAAAACTATATTCGTGTTTTAATTTGAATACCATATATAATTTGAAAATTTTAAAGTAGATAAAACCTCCTACGATTTTTTTTTCAAATCCTTCAAATCTGAATGTGTTACAATAAAACTTACTCGATTTGCTTCAAATATGATGAAAAAAGCCTAATTTTCTAATTTTTAACTCATCTGACGATAACATTTTCAGTCTTTCAAACGCTATTTAAAAACCATTAATATTTTAAAAACTGCTCGTTCAAATATTCTGAATATTT